AGTGGCACATCAGGCATAATTTCATATGGTGTGGCAAAGAATTTAAGACTGCAGGGACAACACTGAGCTGTGCATGTGCTAAGCTCGGGGAGAACTCATTTAGCTCATTGCTTTGCACTGGTCCCACAGGAAAATAATACCAACTATGGCGTTGTACAGGTCAAAATAAGTTCGTGTGTCCCTCAGACCTAAGGACCCATTGGTTCCTGCAAGATCAACACCACCGACAACCTAGCTGTATAGGACTCCTGGTGTCTTTTTAATCTTGGGACCTGCTCCAAACAGAAGTGGGAGAAAGGTTGTACAGACAATGGTGCAGCCTCAGCATAATATCACAGGAGGTGGAGACTGGTAAGCCAAGAGCTGGGGCTATGCAGGCCATGATGGAAATATAAGAACCCAGACCTGGAGCTTGCTGGAAGGAGTGGCACAACTGACTGCAAGCAATGAGCTGTGTACCAACTGCAATAAGTAAAATTGAACTGTAGACTTGTGGGTGACAGAATTAGAAACCTGCCCCAAGGAGAATAATTTGTTAACCAGAAGTGCAATGACCAAGAGCAAAAGAAGAGACAGAGGCACAATGAATATTACTGGAGACTCCTCTGCAAAGGAGAAAAACTCTTTGCAAACCTCAGAGTTCACTGAGGAAGACATCAAGAAAATAGGGGATACATATTTGAAAACACTTGTTGTAAAACTTCTTATCAAAAATGAGAAACATGTAAAGCAGGCATTCAAGGAATTTAAGAAATATGTCACACTGGAAATGAATCAAATGAAAGCTGATATATGAGAAATGAAGAATACAGTGGAGCACATTAAAAATACAATGGAGAGTCCCCAAAATAGAATGAAGGAGGTAAAATCTCAAAATTAGAACATATTTCCTGTCACCGGGGGAAACAAACAAAAAGCTGGAAGAAAAATTGGGTCAAGCTAAAAACAAATATTCAAGAACTGAAAGGCACTGCTGTTTTTCCTTTGAGAATTCTTATTTCTTTTTCCCATTTTCTATTTGTTAAATTTTTCATTTAGTTAATACTTGATTCTTGGACATTCATGATTTGTTTTATTGCATTTCATTGAGCTTCTTGAAGACCACTATTTTAAGTTTCCAGAGATGAATAGATATTCATTTCTTTGGTTACTGTAACTTTTAAAAATATTTGTTGATTGTGTTATGGCAGCCTTACATTGTTGAGTATAGATTTGTAAATGATACCTCTTTAAGTTTTTCCAATCTAGTTTTGGCAGGTAAGGACCTGTTCCTATTGGATTCATGCCTTGATAGATTGTTTTCAGCATCAGAGTTCACCGTATTTGGAGACAGTTTATGTGGCTGCTGATAAATCCAGAATGCTCTGTAGTTGTTGGGTATGTTACAAAAGTTTGGGGATATGCAGTTGCTGACTGATCCACAGGATCTTGGTGTTAGAGTTAAAGCTAAAACAACCATGTTCTTTAGCGTTTATAGTTAGATCCATAAATAGCAGGCAGGGCTACTTCCGCGTTTGCAGATGGCTGTGATTCCTACCAAAATCTCAGAAGTGCTCCCGTGAGGTCATTGAGTGATTGCTCTGTGGTTTCCTGGGTAAGCAGGAATATGTCAATGAAACTCTCCTTCTGGAGTCTGCTTATATATGTTTTCAGTCACTTTCCAGGATCTTTAGAATGTCTGAGACTGGTGGGTCTTCTATCAGAGATCATAACTTTTCATGTTTTTTGGTATGTATGTGCTCTGTGAGTGTTTTAGGCTCTTGAGCCAAGTTATAGGGCTGGCTCAGGAATTACTATTGGGTTCCTGAGTTTGCTTTTTGGAGCAGACACAGGTGTGTTTTCCAATTTATTGGAGGGCAGGACCTTTCACAGATGATACATGGGAGAAAGTAGGGTGAATTCACAAGTCATTTCAGGGTCCTTAATTGGGACAATAATTGAGAGATTTGTTATCTAACAGATGGAAATAGTGGCTCCTCCTGATTTCCTTGGCAGATATACTAGTGGCAAGACCAAGGAAAAATAGGGCTGAATATAATAGACTGAGGCTAAAGATGTTTATGGTTCTGTATCCATGAACAAGGCTGATGAGCCTACCATGGAGGTATAGACCTGCCTTCTCAAAATAGCCCTCCTAAGACTTCGGCTCCATTTGGATTTCTCTAATGTCCTACTAGGCTCCCAAAGCACTTGCAAAGACACTTTTGTCTATGTGCATCCCCTAGATGATTGGTGCTAAGGGAAGAAATAAGTGTAGGACCTCTTTTTCTATTATTTTGCCATTCTTGTGTTTTCTAAGCATACAAGGAAGCAGAGAAGATATTCTAGACAGTTACAGAGACCAAGGGGTGTGCTCTAAACCAAAGGTCAACCAAATCACATGTTTCATTTTAAGAACTTTCACTTTAAATCTACCCTGAAGATGATATTTAATGCAATGGAATATTTTAGTTGACAACATTTCCCAATCTATGTTTTAAACTTAAAGAGTGACATTAGCTTCAACACCATCACTTCACATGCAGAATTCTGTTTGTTTCAAGTTTTCCATGTTGATTCGCTTGTGTTTTAGTGCTTGACTGGCAGGAGAAATGGAGTTGTTCCAGATAGCTAGTCAAGCAGCAAACATTGTCCAGGTCAAATCAGAGAGATGGACTGAAAGTAAGAGTCTAAATGCCTAATAGGGATAAACACTAATCCAAGTTACATCAAGTTTTTTATGAACTGGGGATGGAGTAAAAACCCCAGGTAATTCCATCCAAAAACCCAATTGTTTGTCTTCACTAAGCAGCAGCTGTGAATGCCTGTAATATATCCCGCCCTATGTAACACTTCAGAAATTGTAGCAATTACATCCAATCCTTCTGTCCCTCATTTCTATATATATTGAAATAATAGTAGCAGCAGGCAGAAACCAGCCAGATCATTGAGTGATGACTTGGAATGCTGCCTTCCGGAGGGAAAAGTAGGGATTTTATCTGGTCTTTGAGTAGCAGTTCTCATTGATTCTTTACCTTATAAGTGGAATTGATTCCATAAAGTAGACCACTTTCATCAGACACTTAGGGTTCTGCCTTTGGTCATGACTGATGATTTTAACTCTTGTCATATGAAGATCTCTTATCCAGAAAGCCTGAGCTCTACTTTAGTTTTATTAGCTGTTAAACAGATGAGCTCAAGGGCAACTCAAACTCAGTTTATCTGAAACTGAGTTCATTTTCTTGGCAAAGTAGCCTGCTTCTGTCTTTGTTGCTTCTTTCCCTGTACATAAACCATTTTTTTTTTCTACTCAGAAATCTGACAGATATTTATACTTCATCCTTGTTTTTAAAGTGTTAGAGGCCGAGTTCTGTAGATTTAGTGAAGTATCTTATTATCTTTTTCAGTGTTCTAAGTCAGTTCTTGGTCATTTTTGACCTGGCTCCATGTAGTAACCATTGAAGTAGATTTATAGGTCTTTATTCTTCACCATTTACAATTCCTTCCTCAGTGAAGCCAGATGTATTTTTAAAATGCAAATATCTAGCCAAGTAACTTCATTGTTTAAAAACCTTTAAATGGCTTCTCATTGCTTTCAAGATAAAATACATGCTCTTCAATGCAGCATATTTAGGCATTACATAACTTGGCCCCCAAATGTATCTCATTTCACTCTCTTATCTTCTCATTCTACAATGCTCATTATTATAAATAACACTAGTATCTATTGAGTATTTATCAATGATAACACTGTATTCTGCCATTTGTATATAAATAGGAAAAATCACAATAAAAGGGAAAGTTACATAACCAAAAAACAGGGTTAACTGTTATTATTGTGACTTGAACAAAGTCATCTAATAGTAAAATGTATACTGCCATTATGCTCTACTTCTCTCACTTGTAATTCAACACATATTCCGGCTTCACTCTGAATTCTTTATATGTCTTCTGTTTTTTTAACTTGGAAAGCCATTTCCTTTTTTGTTTCTACAAACAAAAACGTCTCATAATTCAACTTGACTGAAGCTCTCCTCAACCTTTCCAATTTTTCTTGGTTGCCTTCTTGTGAATCATTGTGTTTAGCATGACACATCTTTGTTAATAGCCTCTTCTCTATTAGACTATAATGAGTAGCCAAAGTTGAACCTTTTCTATTTTTAGCCTGTCAGTGGGCCTGATGAACATCTGACAAATAAAGAAAAAATGTAATACATCATTTTATCTTGACAAGTGCCTGGCATTTGGATATTATTAATGGGTAAATCTAGGGTCACTACATCAAATCGACTCTTTTTGGTGTTGGACATGCCTCTGTTATGAAAACAGAAGTCAGTGTTAAGCAAAAGTTAAAAGTTGAATGGAGGTAGTGTTTTTACATAGTTATAAGGCAACGGGAAGAGCCTTCAGTGATGGCAGTGATTAATACCTTTAGAACAGAAGACTTGGTACATCCGATAACTAAAGATTTTATGTAAATGTTAATACTGATTACCTCTCTTTTGCAGGGGTCGGTGACGGACTAGGTTCAATAGGGGAATGGGACTCGTATGGTGGCAGTGATACCACCTGTATTCTAACAAAAAGTAGTCATCATCTTATTACAAGTAGTTGAGGCTGTCCAGAGATTTGCAGTGTCTGTTCGTGAGTGGTACTTACATAATGCCTTCTCAGGTTTTTTTTTGTTTTGTTTTGTTGTTTTTGTTGTTGTTGTTGAAGACAAGGACTGGGAAGAACAGCATCCCAGTTGTAAACAATGCTGGAAGCCCGCGAAAGTAATAATTCTGGGCAAGAGAAATGTGGGGAGACTAGATGGCTAGATTTTATCTTATTTTTGATGTTACGCTTTGGGTATTCAAAATAAAATGCTAAGATGAACAAGTTGGTAAGATATGGGAATTGGGTAATACACTTCACTAATAAAAGTAAATAAGCAAGACCTTTGAAAACAGGAAGCATTTTAACCAGCAAGCTAAAGACATAATTTGCAGCCAAGAAAAAAGAGACCATAGGAAATAGAGTAGAAGCATGATTTGAGACAAGTTTTATTTGAAACACAAGCTTTACTTGTAACAAAGGGTTTATTTACAAAAACTTTTTATTTGTAGAAAGGTTTTATGTGATTAAAAACTATTTGTAGACACTGTGTAGTTACAGTATGTGGGCAAACTAAATCAAGCATGTAAATGATAGAGTAGAAGGGGTGCCTTATTTGGTGAAGAGAGCCCACTACTCCAATAGCTATAAATTTGACATCGTATATAATTGCCAAGCAAACAGTTTTTTATGGGAGAATTATGCATTCAGTGTTGAAGAAATTAATATGAAGGTTTACTGGACCAAAATCTGTGACTAATCATACCGTATCTTGTTAAATCTACTCATTGAAATCTTCTAAAGTTACAGACAAAAAAAAGAGTCAGTTTCCGTTCTCAACAATCTGTCTTAAGATACGAAGCCTTGACATCACTACGTCCCAGTCAGCATAAGCTCCTTCCAGATGGCGAGATATCTCAGTGCCTGCTTCATAGCTGCGTCGCCCGTGCAGTAAGCGCCAGTTGTCAAAAGTAATCACATCACCTAGATGAGAGTTTCAGCATGAACAATATACATTTGCTTGATTTACACAGTGAGAAAATGTAACTTGCAAAATCCCATTGCTACTTGGATCACATCAAGAAGCCGCATGCCTATTGCTTTATATAAAATTGAACGTTCACTTTTTCCCACCAGTCAGGCTGCTGGAGCCAAACTCTTTTATGCCTTATGATCTTTAAGGCCTAAGTCTTTTGGTCAGCCTCTGTGAACATTTTTATAATCCTTATTTTTAAAATGCTGAGTAAAATATTGGTATTGTTCTTACTGGTAGTTACTTAGCTCTTACTGAGAAATGTTTCTTTCCAGTTAGTATTAGGGCAGTGACTTTCTTGATTTATCTTCTATTCCTAGTAATTTGTGTGCATTCTTTTTAAGCCTCATAAGAATCCTGAAAATAATATGGTTTGCCCTGTTTCATACAAGGGAAAACTGAGGCTTCAAGCGTAAGGAGTTTTCTAAAGCTATAATGCCATGAAATGAAACTGCTTTGCTTCCAACTTCCTACCTTCTTGCTGCTTTTTGTTTCTTTTGGTATTTCAATTTCATATACTGCTGCACTTTGAAAAAAATTACATAAATTTGAATTTTCATCTACTTGAAAGGTGTTGGTGTGGAAGTGGAGAGAGAGCAACCTTCCAGTCTTCCATCCCCTGGTTGAGTCTGCAAATGTCTACATGAACCAGGATTGGGCCTGGCCTACTCCAAGGATACAAAACTCCATTTGGGTTTCCCAACTGCATAGCAGGAGCCCAAGAACGTGAGCTGTCTTTGCTGCTTCCCTGGATGCACTAACAGCAAGCTTGGTTGGAAGCAAAATAGCTGGAATGTGAACAGGTATTCTGATATGAATGTGAAATTCCATGGCAACTTGCTGTACTATAATGGCTGCCTCAATGTTTCCACTCAGAATATCAAAAATCTATGAGTTTATAGATACTAGAAAGTATTACCTTATTCTGTCAAGAATCAATTAAAACTAGTGCAAGTGAAAAGAATCTTCCATTTGGCCAAATCAATGGCAGACAGAAATGATTTATTATAGATAACTAAAATCTTCACATGTAAGAAATCTGTCATACAACATGGTGACTAACATTAATAATGATGTACTGCATCTTAAAAACTTAGAGAAAAGGTAGATTTTTTTTCTGTTATTAACACAAAAAGTATATACAGTAATACATGAATTACTACAATGTATCCTACAATGTAATCATATTGGAAAACAATTTGATGAGGCACGTGCAATGGCTAAGCATGCTAATTTTCATTTGCAGCTTCGGCATCCTGTATGGGCACTGGGTTGAATCCTGGCTGCTCCCTTCCTATGGCCTGGGAGAGCAGCAGAAAATGCTTTGAGTCCTTGGGTCCCTGCACCCACCTGGGAGACCAGGAGTAACCTCCAGACTTTTAAGAGTGCATGAGGATCCCCAGAATCTTGAGAAAATGAGTTTTTTTGTGTATTTGTTTGTTTGGCAACTCAGGGGCAGGCCAGAAGTCTGCCATTTAAGCAAGTCCTATATTTACTAATATTGTATTGTAAGTTTTCAAAGTATCATATTTCAGAAAAATAGCTCTGTATGTCATTCTAGTAAAGCTTGAGGAAAATTTATTCTTTCAGCTGTTTGAGAAAATATGTTCACTCACCTGGATTCATCTTGAAGATAACCTTGAATTCTTTGCTGTTCATAAGGTCAACAAACTCCTTCAGGGCAGCATAGAATGGCTGAACTCTTTCAACAGGTATATCAAATATTGTGTCTCTGGTTGCATTATTGAAGTTGATGCGAACCACTTGACCTTTTTCATCTAACCTGTTTTTTTTTTTAAGAAAGAAAGTTTAAAATATGAAATGCCCATTTATACTTGTAAGGATCCATTCTCTTGGAAAATATTTCTGAAGTATAGTATTAAAGAACCCAAATATATATATATATATGTATATAAAAGATAGTAAAGTAACCTGTATTTAGTACAGCATATTTCTTCATTTTTGCATTCATTCATTTAGTAATTATTTGTATTTTCAAATATTACTACATAAGTATCAGGAAGATTCAACTTACATGTTGCAGGGAGTCAAGTTATGTCTAATTCATTTTCATTTTATTAAACCAAGTCTACCATATTAAAATCATGTTGCATCACAGTGGTTTTATGTAGGAATTTACCTGGGTTCTAAGCACAGTTAAATTAAAGATATAGCATGGGCAAGTTTTATGCTTCAAACATTTGAAGAACATAGTTAGAATTCAATGCTTATTTTACAGATAGGGAACTTGAAGCACAAAGAAAAGAACAGGGGTTGGTATGATGGCTCAGCTGGCCAATCCTCCACCTTCAAACACCAGCATCCCATGTGGCTGATGGTCTGTATCCTGGATGCTCTTCTTCCATCAAGTTCTCTGCTTCTGGATTGTGAAAGCAGTTAAGGATGGCCCAAGTCCTTGGGACCCTGCACCTGTGGGAAACCTGGAAGAGGTTAGTGTATCCTGGCTTTCGGTAGACTGAACTCTGGCTGTTGCATCTATTTGGTCAGTGAACCAGTGGATGAAAGATCTTGTTTTTTTTTCTACCTCTCTCTTTGTAAATTTGGCTTTCAAACAAAGGTGAACATATCTTTTAAAAAATATTTATTTTTTCAATTGGAAAATCATATTTTCAGAGAGAAGCAAAGACAGAGAGAAAGCTCTTTCATCTGCTGGTTCATTCTCCAGGTGATCTGAATCCAGGAGCCAGGTGCTTCTTCTAGATCTCTCATGCATGTACAAGGTCCCAAGGCTTTGGGCCGTCTTCCACTGGTCCCCCAGGTTACAAGCAGGGAGCTGGAAGGGAAGTGAAGCAGCAGGGACACAAACTGGCATCCATTTGAGATCCTGGTTGCACATGCAAGCACGGGACTTTAGCTGCTAGGCTATCATGCTGGGTCGTTACTGCATTTTTTGATGTCAGTTGTTTTATTGCTACAGGAAAGTTTAAAATATTACTTACTCTATAATTTTGTGTTTAGATTGTACAGAGAAATCACAGTAATCCACCCCAATGTCTGTGAAATCCACAAACGTAGAGGCCAGAATGTGGAATGCCCGTGGATTTTTTTCCTTGAGCTTTCGGCATACGTTATATCCATCCACAATTTCAGTCTCACCTCCTGTGACAGTTTGCTTTATGCAGTGCAAAAGCTGAACCTGTAATAAATAAATAAGTAAGTAAATAAATAAGTAAACTTTTAAAAGTTGATTTTTTTTATTGGATAGGCAGATAAATAGAGAGAAGGAGAGATCGAAAAAACCTTCCCTGTAGTGATTCACTCCACAAGTGGCTGCCGTGGCCAGAACTGAGCTTATCTGAAGCCAGGAGCCAGGAGCTAGGAGCTTCGTCCCTGTCTCCCATATTGGTGCAGGTTTCCAAGGCCTTGGACCATCCTCTACTGCTTTCTGAGACAACAAGCACGGAGCTGGAAGGGAAGTTGGGGGAAGCAGGGACATGGATTGATGCCCATATGGGATTCACATGGTTACAAGGAAAGGCTTCAGCTACTATGCTACTGCTCCAGGCTCAATATATATAATTTTAATAATATTTTATTTAATAATATTTATACATACATATAAATATATTTTTTAGGGTTTATTTATGTTTTTTTGAAAGTCAGATTTGCAAAGGGAAAGAAAAACAGGGAAAATTATCTTCAATCTGCTGGTTCGCCCCCCAAATAGTCTCAATGGCCTGAGCTGAGCTGAGTCTAAGCCAGGACCCAGGCATTTCTTCCAGGTTTCCCAAGTGGTACATGGTCCCAAGGCTTTGGACCATCCTCTACTGCTTTCCCAGACCACAAGCAGGAAGCTGGAAGGTAAGTGCAACATCTGGGTTATGAACAGTGCCCATATGGAATTTCAGCACATGCAATGGGAGGATTTTAGCCGCTGGCCTACTGTGCTGGGATCTCAATAAATATTTAAAAAATAACATGTATTTTCCTTTTCTGATATTGCATTAAGATTCAGAAACATATAAATGGATCAAAAACCTATTTGATAAATTTTTATAATCTAGTTCTCTTATGTAAGTAGAAAAGAATATTGGGGAAGAAAAAGCTACTTGTAATTACTGTTATGAAATCTAGACATGCTATAGTTGAAGACAGACATTGGCATAAATGTTTTCATTACCAAATAAAACACTGAGGTTATGGGATCTCCAAGGAGTGAGTGCTTCATACAGGATCACTTTTCTGCAAGAGGCGGAGTAATTTGGGCATAAGAAGTGGCAATACACACAATACACATAATAGGATGAAAGAAAATCAGGTGACAGTGACAATGGATACTCATAATTGTACTGTTTTTTGGGTAACTGAGAATCATGAGTGGGACGAGATCAGGCTGGAATGTAAATTGGGATCTTGTCATGGCAAGTTCTGACTGTCAGAATAAAGACTTTAATAATTTATTCGCTCATAGAGGGCAAGTTGAAAGGTTTTGAATGTGCAAGCTATATAATCAGGACTGAATTCAAGATGTTTTCTAGCAGGTATAGGCATTTGGCACAGTGGCTAAGGTATTGGTTGGGATACTTGCATGCCATATCGAAGTGCCCATGTTGGAATTTTAGCCCTGCTTCCAATTCCAGCTTCCTGGCACCCGTTTTGGCAGCTGGCAATAGTTCATGCAGGTATTTGGGTTTCTGTCTCATATATGGAAGTCATAGGTTGAATTCTAGGCTCCGTCCTTGAACCTGTCCTAGTTATTGTGGAAAATGGGAGAATGACCAGCGGGTAGAAATTCTTGGATCAAACACCTTGTGTGGAAATCTCATCCTAGAAGTTGTCACCTACACCAATGTCTCTTTGCCTTTCCAATAAGTACAACTGTATTTTTAAAGGACTATTATCTCCTCCTTTTCCTTTTTTTTTTTTTTTTAGTTTGAAGGGGAAGTGTCACAGAGGCATACTTGAGCCTAGGGTATAGGGCTAAGAAGGAATAAGGTAGGTACTGGAAGCATGGGACTAGAAGGTAGGTACTGGAAAAATGAATAAGTCCAAGAAATACTGGAAACGGGACATAACAATGCAGTACATATTGGTTGTTTTTATAAGATTTTGGGTGAACTTTTTATATTACTACATTTTGAAAAGTATATTATAATCAAAAATTTGGGTGGAGTTTTTCATTGGTTTTGTCATTCCTATTGGAAAGTCAGCATTGGTGGATAATTTTTCAATATCTACATTTAGACTTTTTTTTTACTTGAAACTAATTATCTTTAGCTGTGAGAAGTTTGTTATAGGTGATTCAAAAGCAAAAAAAGAAAACCAGTGTATGGATGAGTTTTTATAGACTTGGAAAGGTAAATGTGATAAAATTTCCAATCTAGAAGGATAAAATTGATGGAAAAAAAATCTGTTTTTCTGGTTTTTCTCCAGAGAAGTCTAGAATAGCATTGTCTCTGTTGCCCAGTACAATGGTCACTAGCTATGCGGTTACAGTGCACTAGAAATGTAGCTGCAATGACTGATGAAGCAGACTTTACATTTTATTTGATAGCAATTTTTTAAAAGATTTATTTGTCTTAATTAGAAAGGCAGGTTAGATTTACAGAGAGAATTACAAGTAGTTAACCTTGTGCTTCATTCTCTCCTCTAATACAAATTGATACAGCTCGTCCTCTTTCTCTTAGAGGACTATTAAGAGGGATTATTTAATGTAAAATACGTAAAACTTCTTCGAGAAGCATAAAACACTATGGAACTGTCAGACATCACATTATACTTAATTTGCTTTTCATTGGTTTTCCATTTTTAACCCAAAGAGCAAGATCTGTACCCACAAATGAGGAGATAATTTTAAAATTCAAATAGAACATTCAGTTTCCTACTCTCATCTTTCCAGTTTTATTCCACCCAACTTCTCCAACTGATTTTTGGCAGATGAGCCAATGTGATTAGTTTGGCTTTTAACCCTGGGATTTCAGAAAAATCTTTGAAATGTAATTAGGATAAATTACACTCCATCTTCCTTCCCCAATTTCTACCCAAAGAAGTGACTATAGGGGTCATTTCTTTTGTCATCATCTAGTTCAAAGAAATCATGTGATGGATGACAACCAACAAAATAATTTAAAACATATGAAGTCAAATAATAGATCAGCTTAGCTAATATTGGCCAGAAAAAATGGGCAAAAAGGACAACACAGAGAAAACATGTTCAGTTAAGATGATGAAAAGAAAATGAATGGGCTTTGAGTTTGGTCCGTTTCTGTTTCATTATTTGAGCATTAGCCAAATTTTGTTTAACAAATTTCTATGTGATTATTAGCACAATGTGCCCTTAAATATATACCTGTACAGCATGATAATAGATTGTATGTACCTCTGTCTATACCTACCATGTCATGATACATTTAAATAGCAGAAAGCTAATCTTTTTTTTTTTAATTGGAAAGTCAGATTTACAGAGTGAAGGACAGAAAGATCTTCTGTCTGCTGATTCATTCAACAAGTGGCTGCAATGGCTGCGGTTGAGCTGATGTGAAGCCATTAGCCAGGAGCTCTCTCTGAATCTCCCAGTGTGGATAAAAGGCCCCAAAGCTTTGGGCCATCTACTGCCTCCCTGGGCTACAAGCCGGGAGCTGCATGAGAAATGGAGCAAGTGGAACATGAACAGGTACCTATATAGGATCCTAGAACGTGCATGATGAGGAGTTAGCCACTAGACTATTACACTAGGCCCAGAAAGTTAATCTTGTAACTATTATTAAGAGACTTTACTACTGTGGAAATTCAGGCAATTATGAATGGCAGAGGTGGTGGTGGGGGAGAACTTCTATACCCACAACATTTAAAAAAATAAAAATAGAAAGGACAATATCTTTCAAAAGTTGTTTCGTAACTAGATTTTGGGGCTACTAAAATGATGATTTTGAGAAAGTGTATCTTGTTTAGTAAAATAAGGGTGACTTCAGAAATCCTCCTAAGAATTCAGAGTATCTATGGCCTTGACAAGAGATCTGACAGATAACACGGTAGATAGTTTACAAAAAGTAGCCAGAGTTATTCTGTTTCTTCTGTTTGCCCCTCTTTGCAATTAATTTTGCAAGTCCTTCCTTGAGGTGTTCATTTTTTCACCTATTCAGTCTGAGTTAGACTTAAAATTTACCTAGATAAAACAAAAATAGCCAGAGACAAAACACCGATGATGTGATCTCTTATAGATCTTGCATGTGTTGGGTTACTCTCTGGATATTCTCCTAGTTGTGCTGTGCTCTGACTTGGGCTGACCAACTGGAGGATGATGTACCAAGTGGAACAGACAGAAGCTCAGCAGCTGTGTACAGATATATGACCGCATAGCAGAAGTGCCCAGCTGAATGCAGTCCACATTGTAAAAGCTGGCCCTTCTTTGAGGCCATTAGGTTACAAGAGTGTGTTTTTCTGCAGTGCTAGCTAACTGATCTGAATGATGGCCATGTGACTGTGGGAAAACCCTATCTTACATACCCTAATTTTATTTTCTACTCAGTTATCTTGGGAGTGATATAGGGGTAGAAACCTTACAATGTACTGCTCTCTTAAACTCTGTCTTGGCAATAAAATGTGCCAACAGTTACTTCTGGAAACAAATAACACTTTTTGAAATAATACACAAAAAGTCCTCTCCCTTAGGAATGTGAGAATATTCAGGATTTAATAGCAGATTATGTGAGCTGGGATTGTGCTTAGAGAAAGGAAATTTACATAAGATATATTATCTGCATTAACATAAACTCTTCTGACCCCAGAATACAAGAGGATGATTGTGTTTGGCCTGCCTTGTGGAAAATATGTTGAAGCTCACCTTACCCCAGGTGGATGATGGAGAGCTGGATAATCAGTGTGAAAGCTTAGCTTCCCAGTTGTGTAAGCCACATTATTTGCATCAATTTTGTCTTGCACTTGCCAAGTATGTCTGTAAAATACAAGAAAGATGTGCTTAAAGGGATTGTCATTAAGGCAGAGGAAATGTGTTAGAATGAGTGAAGCGGAAACTTTTCACTTTTAAAGTAATAAGCATAATGACTATGAGCCAGAAAGGGAGTTTGACTTTTCTTTGTTTTAAGTGACTATTTTAGTATTAACATCTCATTTCTCATTTCTTCTCAAGTGTACTCATGCATTTGTTGGTTGGTTTGTCATGCAGAGTTCACAGAGAAGGGCCAATGGGATTGTAGGTTCTTTTGTTTTAAAGCTTAACATATTTAAAAAATGGTGCAGTAAGGAAAATTTACGTGTCGTAAAATTAATTTTTGAAGTGATTAATTCAGTGGCATTTAGTACATACACAAAGGTGTCAATCATTTCAATCATTGCTTCTGGGTCTCTTGCTTGAAAACAGTAGTATCATTCCAAATTAAAACCTCTGATCTAGGAAGCTGTTTCTTCCCATTCCTCCCATCCCCAAGACTTTGGCAAGCACTAATTTACTTTACCACTATAAATTTACCTATTTTGGATATTTAATATAAGTTAAACTATCTAGCATGTAATAAAATACATTTATGTGCTACGGAACAAGGAAACAAATCCTGAAAATAGGACTCAGCCTCTCATCTGTGTCCTACAGCCCAAGGTGTTCTTGCCTCGCCGTTATCAAAAGAAATTCACTGGGCCGAGGGAAGAGCACAGCTGGTCCAAACAAAATAGCAATCCCTGGGCTGCAGGCTGCACTTGCTTCTCCAATGCATATTACCAGGAGGGGTTTGTTTCAACACATTCTTTAATTAATAACCGTGACCTACTGTCAATGCTTGTTGAGTCAATGTGCATTTTATGATGTTAAATTGGGTCATTTCCTGGCTGGTTCACTCTTGCTCACTGCTTTTTGTCTATTCTATATATTGTAAGTGTATTGAAGTCATGAATATGTTAGCTATTAATCATTATTTTTATTATAGAGTAAGTACATATATTTATTTGTAAGTAACACTTGGAAAAATTTCAAGAGTTGTGTTTTGCAAAGCTATAATCTTTTCAGTATGTGGGTAAATCAAAAAGTTGGTGGAAGGGGCCAGTATTGTGGCTCAGTAGGTAAAACTACCTGCCTGTAATGCCAGCATTTTCTGTGTGCCAGTTTGTGTTTCAAATGTTTTATTTCTAATCCAGCTCTCTTTGGTGTACCTGTTAAATCAGCAGAAAGTAGTTTGAGTCTGTGGGACATTGTCATACACATGGGGTTCCAAGCAGACCAGTCCAGTTCTGCTGCAGTGAGCCCACAGATGGAAGAGCTGTCTTTGTAAAGGCTGCCTTTTAAATAAATAAATAATCTTTCTAAATCTATACTGCAACATATGTGATATTTACTCACCTTTATAAAAATAAAGAAGAAAGGGAAAAAGAAATAGTTTAGTGCCTGCCTTTCGGATTGTTGTGGGCATGTAATCTGGGTTAATTTATGTTGAGGGACTACAGGGAATAACACACAGTTTGGCATCTTATAGTATTAGACTTTTAAATTAACAGAATATTGCTGTTGTATTATTGTAGAGGAATGCATGTGTTAAATTAAAGAACTGAAAGAACTTGGTTTAGTGCAAAATAATTTTTAAATCAATGGAGCTTTCTCATAATAGAATATGAACTTTTTGAAGATACTTCTTTTTTCTCTAGGATTTATTATATTGGAAGTCGCAATTAGAGAGGGGCAAGAGAGATTCCGTTTGTTGGTTCACTCCCCAGGTGGATGCAGTAGGCACCACTTGGCCAGGCTGAAGCCAGGAGACAGAAACTTTACTTGCCATGTGTGTGACAAGAGGCTTTCATATTTAGGCCATCTTCTGCTACTTTTTCCTGGCCATTAGCAGGGAACTGGGACAAAAATGGAGCAGTCATGACACAAACTGGTGTTCATGATGGAATGCTGGCATTACAGGTTGCAGATTTATGGGCTACACCACAGTGGCATCCATGATGATGCCTCTTAATGATAGACAATGCACATACATTCATTCCTGAAAATGAAGTTTCATGCCATTTTAGGTAAATATCATTATTCCTAAATTTGACTTCCAAAAACAATCTCTCTGATATCCAGTATTGCTCGTATTTAATCCATTTAATGAATGCGGGTGTGAAAATGTCCATGAGATATAAAGATATCAAGTAACTAAGGATGATTTTAGGGCATTTTGCTGACATAATTTTTAAAATGTCTCTGAATTCCCTTTGCAGGATATCCAGAATGAAAATCTAAAACTCTGGTACAAAATCTAAACTGAATAGGATGAGAAGGTATTCACACAAACAACACAATCAGAATGGGCAGAGATAAACCTTCCAACGTCACAAGGTCTTAATCACAACACATGCTGTGAACTGACTAGAAGGAATCCACTAGACATATCATAGATGTGAAAAATTCTCAGATCATTACAGATATGCACCAGGCAGTGCAGCAGAGCAATTTAGATATGGCAATTAAAGACAGGAAGGGATTCCTACTTTCCCATATAGCTGACTACAGGAGTACTAGGAAGAGATAGAAACAATTTGGGGCTCCATGAATTCTAGAAATATCCAGACAAAGCTTCCACAATACAGCTCTCTTCAGAGAACAATACTCTGTATTGGGCCAGGCGTGGTAACCTAGTGGCTGAAGTCCTTACTTTGTATGTGCCTGGATCCCATATAGGTGCTAGTTCATGTTCTAGCTGCTCCACTTCTGACCCAGTTCCCTGTCTGTGGGCTGAGGAAGCAGTTGAGGACTGCTCATAGCCTTAGGACCCTACACACATGTGGGAGACACTGAAGAAACTCCTGACTCCTGGCTTCAGGTAGGCTCAGCTCTGGCTCATTGCGGCCACTTTGGGAGTGAATCAATGGATGGAAAAACTTTTGTCTCTCCTTCTCTCTGTAAATCTGCCTTTCCAATAAAAGTAACTACATTTTTTAATACAGACCATATTGAAAAAACAGGACCAATAATGCAAATGAAAGAAAATTCAGACGAAAATAAAGAAAAAGCTCAATTGTCTAAGGTTATCAGGCATAGTCTTGAAATGTAGATTAAAATAATAAAATGTAAATTGTTTCTGAATCGTATCTCCTTTTAATAGGGAACAGCAATTTCACATAAATCAGCAACAGAATGTAATTAAGGTTAAACGTAAAGCTATTTTTTTTAAAAAGCTTTATTTATTTATTTGTTATTGGAAAGTCAGATATACAGAGAGGAAGAAAGACAGAGGGGAAGGTCTTCCTTTCATTGATTCACTCCCCAAGCTGCCTCAATGGCCAGAGCTGCACTGATCTGAAACCAGGAGCCAGGAGCTTCTTTCAAGTGCAGGGTCCCATGGCTTTGGGCCATTCTCTATTGCTTTCCCAGGCCATGGGTAGGGAGCTGGATGGGAAAACAGGTCCACTGGGATTAGAACCAGTGGCCATATGGTATCCTGGCTTGTGTAAGGTGAGGACTTTTTAACTGTCAGGCTACTTAAAGTTATTTTAAGACAAAAAATAGCAAAATGACATTAAAGTAATATATGCCAGAGGGAACTACTCTCCAACTACTTTTATTTTCTATTTATAACTTCTTTGAACAAATCCCCAAATCTTTATTGAAATGGCTCTGTATATGAGAGAGTAATCTAAATTAAAATTAGAAGCTCAAAGATGTGTTCAGAAAGCAAAAAAACTTGAAAATCAAATAATGTGTAAACTTGAAGAAATGCATGATCAAATCAACAAGTAGTACCTTTATGTAACCAAGAGAGAAAAGGGAGAAAAGCTTAAGAATAAAAATATGAAAAAGGCTTTTTAAGAGAATGTAGTAAAAGCACAAGATAGGAAGATTAGGTATAAATTCCACAAAAGTCCTTCAAAGAAGAAACCCACAGCAAAGGAAGCAAACAAATACTAGGAATTATAATTCAAGAAAAAAATTCTTGAAACCCAATAAAAACTGAAACTACATTTCGAAAGATCAAACAATATTCTCCCTGAAAAATTTCCCTGGAACAGCCAGCAACAACATTGGTCTTGAAAATTACTAGACTTATGAAAAAATAATTTCAGCATTCAGGCAAAAATATCAACTTATGAGAAAACTAAAGTCAGATTACCAATAAAATCATAATGACATGTTCAAGGCATAATAATGACATGTTCAAGCCAGGAATTTTATATACAGGAAAACTGATTTTCAAGTATAAATGTCTTAAACTGTTGTCAGCATGCAAGAATTTGGAGAATATTGTTCCCATGAGTCCTTGCTGAGAAATTTATAAGAGAATGGGCTTCAGACATGCAAAATGAATAGAAACACATTGATAGAAGATTAGTGTTGAGCAGTGAATTTATCTTTACTTGAATGAATGTTAGAAAAGAAAAAAAAAAACACTAATAACCCTAAAAAGTATGAAAGCCAAACTGCAGTGCTAAGGGATGCACACATGGGTGACAGTAAACTAAACCAAGGAAACCAGGAAAAAGATCATCCAGCATGCAGAGCAAGAGCGAGCGAGAGCGAGAGAGACAAAGAGAGAGAGACAGGGGGAGAAGGAGAGAAAAAAGTAGGTAGAGGCCAGAGAGATCTTCAATCTGCTGTTGACTTTCCAAACATGTGCAACAGCTTGGGCCAGAGCTGTTCGCCCAGAACTCAACCTCAGTCTTCCATGTGGGTGTCAAGGACCGCAAGGATTTGAGCCATCATCTTACTGCCTCTCAAGCTGCTGGTTGGCAGGAAGCTGGGTTGAAAGCAGAGGAGCCAGGGCTCAAACCAGGTGCCCTAAAACAGGACATAGATACGGCAAGCAGCATCTTAAATGTTGACTCAAACAGCCACCCCAACATCCTATATCTTGACATCGGTGGTATTTAAGGGTTTTTGTGTTATAATAATTCATTAAAATATGCTTCCTTTAGGAGGTTTTCAGTTTTTGTATGATATTTTAGCATGAAAATTATGTGGAATGG